TGGATATAAAATTAGCTTCAACATTCTTCACCCAGGATACCTGGTCCAAGATTACCTGTTCGAACCGTGCAGTTTGTTCCTCCGCAAGTTCTTTGTAAGCCTTCATCCGCTCTTCCAGAGTCTCAGTTGTGCCATTCATCCGAGTTACTACAAGCTGAGTGTCCATCCCGATCTTAAGACGAGCTGCCCTAGTGCTTTTGCATACTTCAGACCGGCTATAAGGGCCCCATATTCTTCTTCGTTGTTCGTGACCTTGAAGTCAAACTTCATCGCATAATAAGCTTTAAAACCCTTAGGGAGGTGATGACTACTCCCCCCACATCCTCGTGCACTAGAGGCCCTATCGGTGTACATCTCCCACCAATTGTCAAAGTCGTTCTGATTCGGGGATTTTTCCTCCGTGCGTGCAGTGCATTCACCAATAAAATCCGCAATTGCCTGTCCCTTTATAGTCGGCCTTGGCATGAATTCCACATTATATTGTCTGATCATCAAGGACCATATGGTGATTCTACCGCTGGACATGGGATTCCTCGTGATGGTGGCGAGCGGCTGTGTTGTATAGATCATCACTGGATGGGCCTGGAAGTACGGTGCAAGACGTTTGATCGCCGCAATGAATGCGAGGATCGTCTTCTCCATCAGAATGTATCGGGTCTTGGGGCCGTTCAACACCTTGCTCACAAAATAGATCGGCCGCTGAACGCCTTCCTCTTCTTTCAACAACACAGAACTTACAGCCAGGTCTGCGACTGCCAAATACATGTAGAGCTGCTCCACTGGATCCGCCTTGGTCAAGACGAGCGGAGAGGAGAGGTACGTCTTGAAGTCTTCAAATGTAGACTGGCACTCCGCGGTCCATTCGAACGGGTTCGCCTTCTTTATCATCTGAAAGAAGGGAATCGCCCGGTCTGCCTGTTTGGACATAAAACGGTTCGGGGTAGCCAGACACCCTGTGAGCCTCTATACATCCTTCAGATTTCTGGGTGCCTCCATGTCCATGATGGCCTTCACCTTCTTGGGGTTTGGCTCAATTCACTTTTTACTCATCATGTATCCAAGAAATTTTCCGCCCTTGACGGCAAAGGCACACTTCTTTGGATTCATTCGCATGTTGGCCCCTTGCATGATGCCGAAGACCCTCTCCATATCCCAGACATGGTCTTCCTTCTTCCTGCTCTTGATCAGGATATCATCCACGTAGGCCTCCATGATGATGTTGAGGACCTCCTTGAATAATATCTCGATCATCCTATGAAAGGTTGCCATGGCATTCCTCAGGCCGAACGACATGACAACATAGCAATACACGCCGTCCGACGTGACGAATTCTATTTTCTCCGCATCATCGGGATGCATGAAGACCTGATGGTAGCCCCGGAACGCATCCATGAAGCTGAGGAGCTCGCAGCCAACGGTCTCATCTACCAATAAGTCGATCCGTGGCACCGGATAGTGATCCATCGGGCAGGCCTTGTTCATATCTGGGTAATCTATGCACATCCGCCACGTAGGACCCTTTGTATTCTGCTGGCACCAATTGTTCAAAATCTGCGGCCAAGCTTTTATAGGGGAGGAGTCTTTTGTTTTAAATATGCATTCAACACCATACTTATTGTGTGAAACCGCCCATTAAACACACACTTATTGTGTTGTAATGGTTTTGAACGTTTCAGGCCATTAACCATGTAATTAAACCATATTTTAATCACATTTTTCAGTTTTTAACCATTAGGCAACGTTCGAAACTCTAGCAGTTCGAGGAGAGGTTAGAACGACCATTATCCGACGGTAGTTCTACGTTTAGTTCTACCTTCAGATATTTCCAACTTCTCCATCTCAACAAGTGAACTTCGAAAATACATTTATCATTCACCCGTTATCCATTTTGATCGAGTGTACCACATATCGAATTGAAGCCCTTACAAAAGGAGAATTCGAAACCACTTTGACCTGACCCAAATCGGAAGTGGGATCCACTCAAAATACTGCCCGAAAATAGCCATTTAATGCAATTTTTAATACAATTTTCCAACATATAATACATTATAAGTACATAAAAAATAAATTGGAAATTTTAATCCAACCGATTCTCATAAGAATCTAACTAGGGTTTAATTTTTTTTAATGAATTCATATTTGAAATATTGCACTACCATTCTCACCTCTCACCAATTGATGTGAAATTTGCAAGATCATAATTCAAACGATCCATGAATTTAATTTTGGTTAAGTTATATTAAAATCGAGAACACATACAAGACAACCTTCAGACAGAATTTACAGATCCAATCGTGAACCAGAAGAGTAGACTTAGAGCCAGCCACCTCATACAAAACAACATGACTCTCTAAACTTGAAACGGACACATTTAGGCTTAAAACGACCGGAACCGAAACCCTGCCTATCAAAAGAACTCCAAAAATCCAAACCAAATCTACATGGACTAAAACAGAAACAATTGCAACTAAAGAGAAAATAATACTGAAATAAAATCTTTCCACAAAATTCTCCCTGGTATGGAGGTGGTTCTAGAGGAGGACGAGCTCTTGCAATATGGGTGAATACCAACTCCACCACCGTCGGAATGACCGACCAAGGCTTCACGATCCAGCCTTGATACAACCTCCCAGTCGCATCTTGTTCATCCGCTAACACGTTTTCCTCCGACGTAATTGCAATCCCAAGCGTTAGAACACTTAAAATCAGTATAATCTGCCGCTTCAACCCCATATTGATAGGGGCGGCAGAAAATCTCAACCCCGACAAAGAGGGGAGACGGCTGGTAGGGTTCCTCTCTCTCTAGACAGAATAGAGATATTATGAGGTTGTAATTCTAGTAAGTTTGTTAAGTTTAGACTTAAAAACCAAATTTTATTTTGGTTAATTAATACATAGTTTTACACATTTTTCGTATTTTGGATTGTATGTTTTTTTTGCTGGATTTTGTATCACTCAAAAAAAATGAATGATAGTATTAATTCAAATATAATTAATTCTATTTTAATCTATTAGCTATAGAAAAATGTTCCATTAGTCCAATTCATTTACATTTTTTTCTACTTCAATTCATTTCCATGTTGACGGAGTTTAATTCAACTACGAGAGCTATATCCACGAGAGCAGATGAAAATATGGCAGAGTAAGGTAGTATTCTATTATCCGGACTTCGGTCCCTTCATAGGAAATTTACAGGAAGTATTTATAGACTACATAAACTAGTATTCTAAGAGGAAACTGATAAAATAAATGCTATTAATTACACATTAGTTTGAATAGGACTCTTGTGTCGTTTTGGCCATTGTGTATTGATCGATCCTTTAAGTCCACATTCCTGCTTGCTGCCAAATATCTATGCACAAATGATACCATGCCACGTAAGCCCTGGGAATATCCCGACCTCACTAAAACTCCGCCTAGGCTCGAGGTCTGCTGTCAAGCCTAGCCTGGTTGTGGGTTTCTGTTGTGGGTCTGATTCCTAGTTAGGCCCAGCGGCTAATCATACTTAGGGGTGGACTCGGGTCCGGTCCGGGTCTGGGCCGGGCCCATTATAATTTTTTTTTTGTTTTCCTCTTCCTAATTAACCCCCCTCCCACCCCCAACCCCCAAACCACCCCAAATGGCCCAAAATACCCAGCCCAACCCAAAAATTTAAAAAAAATTGGGGAAAAAAATTGTTTTTGGCCCGAACCGGGCCTGGGCCCGGCCGGGTCGGGCCTTGTTTTGGGTGACCCGAGCCCGGACGGGAAAACCCACGGGCCGGGCCTACCCGGACCGGTCACTGACCGGGCCACCGGGTCGGGCCGGGCCGGAACAGTACCGGTCCCGGGCCGGTCCCGGGTCGGGCCACCCGGCCCGAGTCCATACCTAATCATACTAATCCCGTTTATGGCCTGATCCTGTTAAGGGCTTGATCCCGTTGAGGGCTTGATCCCATTATGGGCTAGACCCCGTTATGGGCTTGATCTTTGATTTCGTAATTGGGCCATGGTTAGAGTCCATGGTACCATCACAAGCCCCATACTCTCTAAAATCAGCAAGGCTGGATTTCAGGAGAGTAATCAAGGCGGGTAATTCAAATTTCGAATCTCTTAGAAATCTGTAACGCCGTTCACATTACATGCGCCCGATTTGAGATAGGCCTGCAACCCGGTACAACTTCCAATCAGTTCCACCATCTTATAACATTTGGAAGCCATCATTGCGGTTGTGGGGCAGTTTCCACCACCTTGAATCGGCTTCCAATACCGGTGGATTCGGAGGGGAGGGAAACCCATTTCATTCTTTCTTGCGAGTACGCCCGATAAGTTCCGGTTGTAGCCTTATCCGACGCTGAATTCAATGAGGCGATGGCCTTTGTGGGCCCCAATGTGACAATCCATAAATTTAATAAAAAGAATTTAATATAAACTAACATGTGATACATGTTAATTATATGTATGAATATTTTTAGTCCATGCTTCGGGACGAATCATCATATAAGGAGGGTAGAATGTGACACTCCAAAACATTTAAATAAAATAAATAATTTTATTAGTCAGATAAAATATTACAAAAGTGACATTTTCTCAATTATGTAAATAAGATAAAATTTTAAGATCGGTAACATTTTTAGTCAGATAAAAATGTTTCAATGATAAAAGTGACATTTTTGTAACTCGTGATAATTATACATACAAAATATTAGAAGCAACATTTTATCAAAAAGCACCGATTATTATTAATGTCAAAACATACACTACGGTCAAAGAAAAAGTTAATAAAGAATTAAAGATGATAAAAAGTGACTTCACAAACGTAATTTATATACGACATGCATACATAAAAACAATAATTGAGATTAATTCCTCCAATATAATTGATCGAATATAATTGATTGAAGTACAATAAAACACTACCCTACGTATCAATTCAGCGGTCATATGCTTATAATAATTGAGATATACTAGTAATAATAATACGGAGTATATCATACACATGGCTACCATACCAATCCACATGGGCATGTCAAGGCCAAAGATGCTCAATCCATGTACTATTTATCCTCCATAATTCATCACCCTCAACAATTGAAAAAAACTGCATTCATATAAACATATTCTATATAGCCGTATGTATACATGTGTCTCCTGCGATCTCCAGAAGAAAAACAAACAAAATATATTTATAAACGAACGAAAGAGTGAAATAGGGAGAGGAATACTTGGGCTACTGCTTCGACGACTAAGAAGAACGGGAGAAAACCTTGAGCAAAGTGGCCGGAAACCGTTGTCGGTGAACTTGACCAAAACCGCCGGAAGGAGAAGCAAGGATGTCGCCGGACTGATTTCATGAGAGAGGGGTCGTCACCGTCATCTTTGAGGATGGATCCGAGCCTGCTGCCGTCTCTGGAAGAGAAGGTCGTCGCCGAGAAAGAGGAGTACGCCGCAGTCAACGACAATTCCGACTCCATCCTGCCGCCGGAGTAAACAAGATCGTCTCCTAGCGTCGCTGCCACCAAACGTTGCCTAGAATATGCGCGCCACTGACAGGAAGAAAGCAGGCCAGGGCTGGAGAGTAAAAGCCGGACATGTGCCACCGAAGGAGAATGGCCGGAGGAAAAGAAGTCGGTGGACTGGCCGGGTTAAACGTCGGGAGATCATCACCTCTGTCCTCGTGGAGCAGTGGAGGCGGAAGCCTGCTTCTCGTTGTCGCAGGGGTGGTGTCGCGTTGTTTCACCGGTGCTGAGTGAAGAAGACGCCGAATGTAAGTCGTTTCCTTCTTTGTTTTCTTTCTATAGTACGGCCTATGCATCAGTATACTGCGTAGTAGTATTGTAATGTGATTAAAGTGTACGGACTGATATTGGAAATAAATTAAGTATTTTAGTATATTAGTATATTTAGTTAATACAAGGTGAGCCAGTTACTCGCAATATTGTAAATAAAGGATTAATTCAAGAATGTTAATATTCTAGAAGGTGAATTTGGAGAAGTTCGAGGTAGAAAGCTTTGGATTAGGATTTATCGTGATTCGAGGTAAGTTTCTCTGCCAATCCAAAATCGTTTCCTCGTATTATATATGTATTATGTGATACGTGATTTTAATGTGAGTTATGATGTATATGCATGTGATTTTGAGATTTGTTCGATCTGTGATATTTAAGAAGTGAAACTAAGTGCTTTTGGGTGTTAAATATTTTATTTAAACATTTCCGAGACAGATTGAGAAATTGAGGAATATTTTGAAGTATATTAAACCAAGATAAAAGAATGATTTCATAAAAAGTGAGCACCACGGGAGAAATCCATGGTGTCGGTTTTCCACATCCGGATAAATGCGGAGGGTGATTAGAGTGGCTACTACTAAGAAGTACAGTTTGAGTAACTTTCGGATCGATGATCCCTTTTAAGAAGGAGAGTTGTGGTAGTAGTAGTAGTAGTTCCGACGTAAAAGGGCTGCTACTGCTAAGGATGAGGATAAGTTTTGACTGATAATTGGATCGATGATCCCTTTTAAAGTTATAGTAGTAGTCCATAATCATTCAAGAATTTTTAAAGGTGGGGTGGTTGGGTTCCGACCACTCGGGATGACTTACTACTCAGAGGGCTTGGAATCCCTTTTTGGGGGTGTGCACACTTAAGGTAGTCATTTCGTTTCCGCATTAGCAGTTGTGGTACCGGCAAAAGTCCCGGGGTGGCCGTACATAATAACGTAACCACCGGGCTCAACCAGAGTGTTGAGTACCGCCCTTCTAAATTACTAGGAAGGTAGAGAAGAACTGAATTTTGGGAAATTCTAAGAGAAGGGTTACTACAGTATCTTCTAAGAAAAGTTGAGGACTTTAGTAAAGAAGTGATTTTGAGAAATATCAAAGAGAAAAGAATTTTGGTGGAGTGTGTCATTTTTATATAGTATTATATGAAAAATTATTTTTCGCCAAACCTGATTATTTTACGGGGTTGGGTAGTATTTACTTAGCTCTAAAGCTATTTTTTGTTTTCTTTTCTTTGTTTTGTTTTCTGCACTTTATTTGTGCAGGTGATGATGACTGTGTTGATTGTTGATTCCATGCGTCCGAGAGCGGTTGCTAGATGCCTTAGTAAAACCTAGACATGAATGAACTTTTTAGTTACGTTGAACATTTGTTTCTTCATATCTCAATTAATTATGACTGTTTTGTTTTAGTTGCCTGTGCATCCGGTTAAGAGATGACCGGATGTGGCGGTAACACCCGTTTCCCTATTTAAATTATTTCCGCTGCAAGATTTTTATCAATTTGAATGAATAAAGCAAGTTTATTATCAATAAATTATTATTTCAAGTATTATTTTTGGGCGGGAAATTGGGGGTGTTACACCCAATGTCACCTATTACCGCCCTTCTCCCGGCCAGAATATCGTAGATTCCCCTTCCCCCTTCACTTTGGGGTTCATCTAGCTAGTTTGCAAGTAAGTCTCCGATTTGCGCTACATAATGCCCATTTCAGCGTCATTAATTACTACGGCGTGATTTCGGGCCAACTTTCCCCAACTACCCATATGTTCATAGTTGGGTTCATCGCCCGGTGCCTTCATTTGCAGATTCATCCCTTCATTGATCTTTTCCTCCACTTTGTTCACTCCATGAGACCCAGTGCCTCTGAATCCCTGGGTTATCTTTTGATTTCTCAATGGGCTGGCCACCGTTTATTTGAAGCCAAGTCCTACCCTGATTCTTTCAAGGGTTGGAGGCATAAATGGGTTTGGGTCACCCCTGTCGATGACAAGCTCCAGTTCACGAACAAATGGGGGGAATTAATCCGGAAGTGGGTGATGCCATTCTTGTCAGAGGGGAACGCTGAAGCTGCTAGAATGATTGTTGATGGGGTACCCTTCTTGATGGGATATTACGTAGGTGAGGATAGGGCAGTAATGCTTTCATACCTGTCAGGTCAGCTACGTCTGATTTGGCATCTATTCATTTTCATTGCGTATTTTGTCATACTGATAATCTCTTTATTTTGATGCAGCGAGCGATAAGATGGCCTCCCGACTGGAACGACTTGCTGTCAAGGCTGGCTCCACCCCCGGTCCCTTGGTCCCTCTGAGGAAAACCCAAATCAGGGGAGCTATTGGGGCCGCCCCAGCAAAACCAGAGGGATCCACCCCCGGAGACGGAGCTGTGATACTACCCACATTGGCCATTGACCCTCAGCCCCCCCCCCCCCCATTGACAAGGGGGCTGGGAAGAGGACGACACTCCAACCCGTCTCCCAGCCCAAGAAGAAAAGTAAGGCCGCTGTGAAACCTACTGAAGAGGTTGTTGATGGGACTCAGACGCGCAGTCTAGAGGTGGTGGCAATCAGGGGGAACCCCGACACCTCTCCATACCGTCAGGCTTACTATGAAGGCGGGCTCTACCTCTTTCTTCCGCCGCACCGTGAACCCAGTGTCCTTGGGTTTGGCTATCACCCCCCTGCCGATGCTGAGGAGATTAAGGATTTGTCTCCATGGACTGCAATTTGGCGCACTGTCCACGCCATGTCTGAGGTATGTCTTTATTTGGATCCTCTGTGACGGTTGCCTTCTCGACATGGGAAATATAGTCCCTTACTTGTGAGATTCTTTTATTCACATGCTTTCATCCTTGCATCTTCTGGTTCTTGCCGTCTAGATGAGGGACACAACGATTCTCAGGGCTTGTTGGGAGATCTAAGGAACAAGGTGGGCGACCTGGAGCAGAGGCTGGCGGCGGTGGAGATGGCACGAGTGACGACGATGAAGGAGGCTGGCTCACTGCAGAAGAGGCTTGATGACATGGAGGCCACACACCGGATCATGGGAGGGGAGCTGAGGAGGAAAGCCGAGGAGGTCGGTCCGGCTGCTGTCCGGGCCTTAAAGGAAGGCCCCGAACTTCAGACCGAGGTGGACTGGGTCATCTTAGTTCGCAGGGCTAAGATAGCCCTCGGCTGGCTCCAAACTCCTGAGGGTGAGGACAGGCTGGCAGAGGAGGGGACCCAATGCCTTCAATTGGGTAAATTCGATATGCAGAAGTTCATTTACGAGGCCGTGCTTAACCGAGACCCCTCTTTTTGTGCCAAGGCATGGGGGTTGCCAAGCCCTATTGCTGTTGAAGAGAGCTCGGTCCCAACTGTCCCAGCCCCAGAAGTTCCACCCTCCGAATCTGGTAACTGATTGATTCCTTTGTACATCTTTATTTTCTTTCAAACACACATCTTTTCGAGGCCTGCGTGCTTGTAGTCGTTTTCCACCATTGGGGTGGTTTGTAACAAACATATTTGCATTCTCTGTTTTTTTTTTATTTTTGCATGTACATATACATAATTACTTTAATTGCCTTTGCTGATTGCCTGACTTGATCTGTTTGATGCTGTTTGAGGTTTCCAGCTTTATTTGAGCTGGCTTCTTTCCTTAGATTTTCCTGTCCTCTGGGTGTTGACCTTTGAATTTGAGCCTGTGTAGCTTATAAGTTCCGGGGTGGCCTCCAAGCCTTCCTAATTGCTTGTTTTCAATCACTTTTGTCCTTAGTTTATTTTGTCTTGGATTTCCGGCCAAGTTCGTCTTTCCTTTGTTAAGGATGACTTTACCAATTTTAACCTCTTAGGCTCTTAGTAGTTGATCCAAATTGGATGGGCTTTCACATAGGTTATTTTGACCTTGGTGATTAGCCTCTTAACTGGCGAGGCTTGTGAGCCTCTCCGGTGCAAAGTTAATTCCTTCAATTTCATCTTTAGCCTTGTAAAATCAATCTTAACCTTGAGAAATGTTGCCTTTTCCTGTTTGAGGAAATTTGATTTTGTTTATAAGGCTGTTTAACCTTGTGAAATGTTGTTTTATTCCCGCTCTTGTCTTTAGCATGACTAAGTTGAGCTTCTGGAATTTAGATGAGTTTGGAATTTGTACTTTGTCTTTTTGCGAGTACCAATTAGGCATAGCCTCCATTTTTGGCTGGTTGATAAACCTTCACAAGTAATGTGTAAAGGAATTTTGTGAATGAAACAGAAGTTTTATTTAAAAAATTGTCGAAGGAGATTACATACTTAATGGTAGAATTTCAACAAGTGCTCAGAATTCCACACCTTGTCTACCAGTTTTCCCTTAGGAGTACATAATTTGTAGGTTCCTGACCCAATGATTCCTTTGATTTTGTAGGGGCCTTCCCAATTTTTGGCAAACTTTCCGCCCTCTGGAGGCTTGCTAGCAGACCTCCTCCTTAGGACCAAATCTCAAATATCAAATTGTCTTGGTCTGACCTTGGCATCATGGTATTCCTTCACTTGTCACCTATAATTTTCAGCCCTGATGAAAGCCCTATCTCTTTTTTCTTCAATTAGATGGAACTCAGCCCCCAGCATCTCCTCATTGTCCTTAGGGTCGTAATCTTTCACTCTTTTTATTGGGACTAATGCTTCCAAAGGAGCTCAAGCTTCAAAACCATAAGTTAGAGCAAAGGGTGTCTCACCGGTTGCTTTTGTTGGAGTTGTTCGGTAGGCCCAAAGGATATTGTTGAGCTCGTCTACCCAGGTCGTTACCATGGATTCCAGGTTCTTCTTGAGGCCATTCACAACCGTTATCTTCACATTCTCCACTTGTCCGTTGCATTGGGGATAAGCAACAGATGCCCTACTAGCCCAACTCCCCTTTGACCACATAATTCTTTGAAGGGCTCAAAGTCAAACTGCTTCCCATTGTCAGTAATGATTTGCATGTGAACATCAAACTGACAAAGTATGTTCCTCCAGACAAACCTTTTGCATTGCTCAGTAGTGATTGTGACCATAGATTCAGCCTCAACCCACTTAGTGAAATAATCAACAGCAACTATGACGAATTTCCGACCTCCTGAGCCATGCGGAAGGGGACCCATGAGATCTATCCTCCACCTCGAGAAGGGGATCGCCATGCTGATAGGGATATACAGAGTAGCAGGCCTGCCAGGGTTCGTTTGAAACTTCTGGCAGACCTCACATCTTCGTAAGAAGTCCGCACAGTCCTTTATCATAGTTGGCCAAAAGTACCCTTGCAGAATAGCTTTTCTACTTAGGGTAAACGCACCTTGATGCGATGAACGAATTCCTTCGTGCAACTCTTTGATCACTTGCTAACCTTGATGTGGTCTTAGAGATTTTAGTAGTACACCATTGTAACTTTTCTTGTAAAGCTTGCCATCTTAGATGACATAGTTTGGAGCCCATCTTCTGATCACCCTTGCCTTTTCTTCATCTGAGGGCAGCGTTCCACCTTCTTTGAATTCTATCAGGTCGTCAATCTAGCATTTTGAGGCCTGGCTAATTGACAAGACCTCCTGGTCTTTGATAACCTCAATGTTTGGCCTGGTTAGTTTGTGGACTCTGTTAGGAATATTTTATGGTGTCCAATCTAATTAAATATCTTTGTATTTGTGTAGTTATTAGTTAAACATGTAATATGGGCCACAAATGTATATCAGCACATTAGCTTCTTTGTAATCCATAAGTTAGTCAACTTCTCCTATAAAAGGAGGCTAACTTATGGAAAGCCCAAAAGAATTCGAGGCTGAGAGCATAGAGGCGAGAGAGAGTAAGGTTTGTCGTTGTTCTCCTTCTCAAGGGAGAGCAGCGGCCACTTCACGGTATACCAGATTTATTTTTTCATCTCGATATCTTCCTTTCTGCTTCTTCTTTATCTGCTATGGTTGTTTGATTGTTTTAGAATCAGGGACTATCAATTGGTATCAGAGTCGAGGCGTGAAACAGGTTGAATCTATCTGCGTTTTTCGAATCTAACGAAGAACTGCTCTGTTTTTCTTCTGTTTTTCTTTGATATAGAGATTTGCTGCTGTTATCTTGTTTGTGAACGAAATGCTGTAAAAAATTATATTGTTGGAATCGCCTTTTCAAAACGATTCTACAGCATATCGCTGTTTTCGATTTCTACAATTTTTCAATTTCGAAGATCTCTACATTGAGATCTTGAGATTATACATTTACATGACTGCAGAAACGATTTCGAACTGAAACCGATACAGGAAGAATCTCGACCTTCAGTGCTATTCAGAACATTTTTCAAATTCTCAAAATTTGAAATTTTAATTTTGCAGGATCTCGACATTTTTGAGGATTTCGAAATTTGGGATCTCGATATTTTAGGATTTCGATGTTTGAGATTTCGACATTCTGAAAGATTTCGAGATTTTTGGAATTTATAAAATCCTGGAAAATGTGCCCCGGCCTTTGCCCCACTGATTTTGGTGGGTTGCCTACCGGGTTAAAAAAAGGAATTTCTCGATGTTTTGAATCTTTCTAAGTTTGCAGTTTCTTGAAACTCAAGATTTTTCGAAGCCTGACATTCTTCGTAGTTCATTGAAGCTTTACATTATAGGATTATTGAATGACTCCCTACTTATCAAAGTTTTTAGAAGTTTTCAATGTTCTGATGTTTTTCAAACAGTAAGCTCTCGATATTCTGAAGTTGTCGAAACTCCAAAGTTTTCGATGTTCCAAACAACTTGAAATTCTGAAGATTTCAAAGTCTCGAGGTTTGTTTTGCAGGTGGATTTCGCCATTATTCTTCGAGACAAACTCGAGATTAAGATCTCGAAGTTTAAACCTCGAGATTGTAATCTCGACGTTTAAACCTCGAGATTGTAATCTTGAGATTTAAACCTCGAGATTGTAATCTCGAAGTTTAAACCTCGAGATTCTAATCTCGAAGTTTAAACCTCGAAATTAGGATTTCAAGGTTTTGCTTTAAGAATTTTGTTTAAACTCCACCTGCTCTCGATATTCAACATCGAGAACCTCAACTTCGAAGAAATTCCTCAAAAACTCAAAATTTCGAGATTTTCAGCACCTTCGCACTGTTTTGGCAATAACTTTTGACTCGGAGATCCGATTTAAGCGATTTTTTTGTTGGAAAGCTAACGAAAATATCTACATTTATTATTGGGGTTAACCCCAGAACCCTTTTTCACGCGCCCTCACACGTAGTCCTTGAGGGTCAAAACGTTCGTTTTCCGAGAAACTTTGTAAATCACCGATGTCAAGGTCAAAATTTAGGCAAATCTGATCAAATTCTTTCAAAGTCAAACCAATGGTCAAATAAGGTCTAAGCTACACTGTAGAGGTCCGAAGATCATAGATAATTCAATCAATCTCGCGTCAATGGTCATCTTACAACAATCAACAATCAACTACTGAAGCCTCCCCTAACTCATCAACATTGTGTGATCATCAATATGCTGAAATTCTAAATGTTGAGCTTAGGGAAACTGTCATGTGTGGTACTTGATCAGATTGTTCCACACACATGGCGGGTATGACAAGCTGTGAGCAATCAACTCTTGCACATTCTGAGGGGAGTTTCAGTTTTCTCCTCCTGGTGCCTTACACTGGCAAAGCAAGGAATCTCTCAACGGATGCAACATTTTAGGGGGAGTATTCAATGTTATCCTCCCTGGTGCCTAACAATGAAAAAGCATACTGAGTGCTCTAGTTGAGGGGGAGTACAGAGAGAAAATGAATGAGAGAACTGTTCCTATGGTTTAGTAAACCCAACTAAGCCTACCCAAGGGACAAATCCGAGAGTAAGCGAGTGAGTGAGTGAGTAAGTGAGTGAGTGAGTGATCATTATGAGCGTTAGGAAGCAGAAGGCTCAAGTGAGCAATAAAACAATAATTAACGATGAGTCTGCTACCTCAAATGACTGCTATGAATTGAACATTTACTCCTAGCCACTCAAATACTCTGGACAATTCCCAAATAGGTTCAGGACTGATTTAATCAGATCCCGGGTAGAAGTCACTTCATCTTGTCCAACAGTGCATGTTGAACCCTACCCAAGACCACTCACTTGTCTCCCAACAGACATGTGTTTAATCATATTTCACAGGGAACCGCATCTCTCATTACTGTCTCCTTCCGAGGCAAATGATACTGACTACAGTGGCCTCAGCCCCATGCCACTGAACTTTCATTGATCACGTCGTGTCTAGTTACTCACTCCCAAATATTTTAAATTTTCTAGGACACAGATGCACTTTTTGAGTCAATTGCAGGTCTACATGACCCGCGAAAGCTTCCATAGGGCTCATCTATTACAGATGTAGACCAATGATTGGAATGAAGTCCTGTTGTTGCAACATAAGAATCACCAACATTTTCAGGCCATTCCTTTAGAGTTTATCTCTACAGTGATGATAACGAGTGTCTACATGACCTCGGGGGGTTACAAGTTCTTAATGCCAATCTTTATGATTTTGCCATAACAATCGGAGTCACATGTATTAGGATGCTTCACAATGACCGGTTGGAAGTCCTGTTAAAACTGTAATGCTTCTATCATTTTATACATGCCACACACCAGTGT